TCTCCATATTTCCCCATCTCTCTTCTTTCTGCCCCTCTCTTTTCATCTTTGTGTTGGTTTTCTCTTCTTTCCACAGAAGGGGCCCGCTCACCTTCACCACCCGAACGGTGCGGCAGGTCTTCCGCCTGGAGGAGGGCGTGGCTTCTGACGAGGAGGAAGCCCAGGAGGCGGAGCCCGGCTCTGGACCACCGCCCCCTGAACCTGAGGGCCCTCCACCAGCCCAGCCCCAGTGACCCACCTTGCCAAGGTGCACTAAGGGCAGCAGGCACTTGTCCCATGCACCCCACCCTTTGGCTTCTCGCACTTTGGAAATGATGTTGCCCTTTGACACTTTTTGGCATTTATCAACCACCTCCCCTCCCTGAGACATCCTGTCAACTGGTGGTCCCCCAAGCAAAAAGGAGAGAGACTGGCTAGACGGCAACCACTGGGGCTCTATTGCTTGAGGGGAAGCTATGGTCCCCTCAGCTCCCCATCCTTTCTTCAATTGTTAAGGATCCTGAGCCCCTTGCAAAGACAGGACAAGGAGCCCCTCTTATCCTCTCCTGCCCACTCTGTCCTTCTTTCTAATTGGTCTTCTGTAGTCACAGGTTGGAGTTCCCAGAGGGGTCTGGTAGCGCCTCCCTTACTGTTCCAGCTTCCCAGCCCCGGCAGAAATAAACTCCAATCCCTGATTGGACTCTTAGCTGTGACTGTGTGTCCCTCCAGGGAACCTCTGATGGGGTGTGGGGGCTTCTTCAGTTCCCCTGGGTTGGAAGGAGGGGCTCTGCTGGTTTTAATCACAGCTTATTATATAGTTGAGGAAGCCCAGGCTCTCTGAGGCCTTATTCCTCACTCCAAGCCTCCAGTGAGTGCCAGGGGTGGGCTGTGCCAGACCAACTCTCAAGTCTTTGCAATAAATAAAAATTTTTAAAACGACTGATCATTTGGGGCTGGGATTGTGGCTCAGGGGTAGAGCACTCGCCTCACACGTGGAGACCCTGGGTTCGATCCTCTGCACCACATAAAGATAAATAAGTGAAATAAAGGCATTGTGTCCAACTACAACTAAAAAAAATAAAAATAAATCTTTAAAAAATGATTGAGCTGGGAGATCTGTGCCAAGCACATGATGTTTGTCTCTACCCCTGGCAATCCTTTAGAGAGAGGCATGTCACTGCTTTCCAGTACCTGGAACAGCTCCTGGCACTTAGTAGACAGCAAATACTTGCTTATTGATAAACCACGCCCCTCCCGCCCTTTTAGCATGATGAAAAACAAGCTCAGCTAGACTGAGTTGCTTGCCCAAGGACACAGCTGGTTAGAAGTTGAGTCAGGATTCCAACCTAGGCATAATGCAGAGGGTGGGGCCCTCAGCCCTGAGCTCATGGTGGGTGCTCAGGTCTGCAGCTCCTGGGCGGACTAGGCCCCTCTCGCGAGTGCTGATCCGCTTGTTTATCACCAAAGAAACTGAAGAAGGCTCTTGCCCAAATAGGGCGAGAGTCCGCAATCAAGGGGATGTGTGACCCACCAAAGTCACACCCTTGCCATTTTAATACCAACCCACTCCTGAAGTCCCAGTTCCTCTGCGTGCTCCCAACCCCAATCAGGAGAACTTCTCAACAAATAGGAAGCAACTTAAATGAAAAGGAAGTTTTTATTTCGATGGGGAGTGAGAGAGTGGGTGGGAAGGGGGCATGACAGTTTTTCTTTGGGGAGGGTGTGACATGCGGCAGCTTCTGCATTGGGCGGTTCATGCACCCTGGGTGGGCGTGGGGGAGGCTTGGGGGAGGGGCCTTGCCGACCCCTCCCTCCCTGCCCTGCGGGTGGGCTGAGAAGACCCGCCGTTAGCACCAGAATTGGACGATTTGCAGACCTCCCCTCCCCACACTTGACTCCAGACCCCCGCCCCCATCCCTGAGAGCGCCCCTTTGCCACTCCCTCCCCCCCCTCAGCGACAGGCCAGGCCCGCCCCGCCCACAGTTGAGTGAGAGAAACTTATTGCTGTGTGTGTGTTGGGGAGGGGGAGCCGCTGAGCTCTGGAAAACCCCCAGCCATTCATTCCTCCCCAATCGCCCCGCCCCCTGCCCCGTTTCCGTGCGTTCCCGGAGCGCTGGAGGGGCGTGACATGCGTGTGGGGGGCGCGTCATGCAGCGCATGCGTGTAGTTGCAGGCACCCTGGCGGCCGGGGGAAAGTAGGGAGCTGGACTGTGAACTAGTCCGTTTAGCTCGCTCTCCCTCCCCGAATCCCACACTGTTGACTTGGGAGATGGGGAGGGAGGGGACGAAAGTTACGTTTTGTAGACATTTAAAATGATTGTGGTTATTTTTTAAAAGCTGAACTAAAAAGCTGGGTACTTTTGGTGGATTGGCGAGCTTGGGGAGACTTTGGGAAGAGGTCAGTACCCTTTGGAAAAGACCCTCACCCCTTTCCCCGCCCTGTCCGGCTTCTGTGAGGGTCAGGGAAACTGGGGGTTGTTTAAAGAAGTTGAACCCTTTGGCAATATAATCAGTCCCCACCTCGTTCCCTGGTGTCTGAAGCCCCTAGCCCTTTGCCCCGCCCCCACCAGAGCCCTCCCCACCCCTCACCCCTGATTCAGGGTTTAGGGTCCGAGGGAAGGATGAGGGGACTCAAAATGCCCCTTGCATAGGAATCATTGCATCAAGAATCGTGTTCAGTGACCTCCCCACACACACACCATCGGGTGGAAGTGGGGGGTTCTGAGCCCGTGGGAGCAGAGGGAGGTTGCTGATTCACGTGGGCCCCCAGCTGCAAAAGTGGGGGCCGCTAAGGATTCTGGGACCAGTGTGGTCTCTGGGCTTGGGGGAGGTAGCGCATCCTTGAGCCAGGATGGGATATGAGAAATGATTTTCCACCCGCGAGTGTAGCGGGACGAGGAACGCTGGGGAAGGGAGGGCTGGAATCCCAGCCAAGTTGGGTATGTCGTTGTCTCCCAAGCTTGATATCAGTGTCCCTCCATTCAAGCACAGCCTCTATGATCACTTATGGACTGCTTTAAATGGAAACATTTTTAACCTGCATAAATGGTGCCCTGGCCAAGTAGCAATACGTGCACTTATGAGCTTAATATGCAAGATGTGCACATTAAAGAATTCTTAACAGGTGTTTGTCCTTGTATTGCCTAATACCTTAACACACCAGCAGGAGCATGAGAACCACACTTTGGAAACACTGGTGGCCATGAAGAGGTACCTTTGGGGCACCATCTTGGGGAAGGAGCCTCGTGAGGGGCAGGGCTAGGCTTACCTAAGAAGGGGGGTGCTGGGATGGGTCTGGCTCCCTGGATTTAAAGATAGGCTGAGCCTATTTTGGAAGTTTAGCATTAGTGGGACCTAGGGTGGATGGGTCTGATGTTAGGGATATGGGGGTGTATGGGGGGCAGGCCTGAGGACTTGGGGGTGTCTGGGATATGTCAAAGTTGTGGGAAGGATTTGGAGCATCCCAAAGGCTGAAATTGAGCTGAAGAGCTGGGTCAAGTCTTGGAGGTTTAAAAAGTGCTGGGATGCGGTCGAGGGAATTTGGGGGTGGGCATATTGGGGAGGGGAAGGGAAGCATCTGTGTGCAGAGGCAAGGCCCCTGGGGCGTGTGGGGATTTAGGGGTGTGGGGTGCCAGGGTCCCTCTCAGGAATCCTAGATGCAGGTCTCATGTCCTGGGAACAGAGGGAAAGGGTTGGGGAATTTTATGTGCTAGGGCCAAATCATCCCAAGAATTCTAGGATGGCAGGTCTGAGTCCATGCAGCAAGAATAGAGGCGAGCAGATCCCTGGGAGTGGGGTGGGGGATGAGAGGGTGGAATTCACCAGAGGGATCCTCCTAAAGGCTGAGGGAGCAGCTGGCAGCAGCCCACCACTCTTGCCTCATCCTGCCATCTGAGCTCAGCTCTTTGTTGGCCTGGTTAGCAATCTCTCCTTTCCCTGAGCCCTTTCTAGGATTTTGTTTCTCCTTATGCGTGATGGGTTGGTTGCCCTCTTGGGGTGAAGGGTAGGAAGCCAGGACACCCTCCTGTGGCTTAAAGGCCAGCCCTACTCCTGGAGCTCCCAGCCCCCTACTCGCAGCACGCAGCCCCTGGTGGCTTATTGCTGAGGAGTTGGAGCAGGGTCCAGATCTGGGAGGCATGCAGAGTGCATTTGGGGGGAGGTGCCCCAAGATGTAACTGGCATAATTTGGACTTATTTACACAAGTTGATGGGAGGGGGTGTCCTATGGCTCATGGAGACCTGAGAAGGCTTTTTTGGGGGGTTGGGGGAACGGCTACAGCCCCTCCCCCTCCATCCTGGGGCCCAGATTGTGGGTGAGGGGCCTGGGGGTGTCTGCTGGCATCATCATTTCGGTTGCATATTATTAATGACTTTTTGATTTTTTTTTTTTTAAAAACCTTTCCCCCACCCCCCACCCCCAGCTCCTTTGACCTTCTTCCCGGTCACCCCCGAGTCCCCCCACAGGGGGGAGGGGAGCGCTAAAGGATGGAGGGCAGGGTTGGGGGAGCACGGCGGGTGGCCCGGGGAGAGCCTGGGGGGGTGGCAAGGGGTGCAAGGCGTAGGGACACCCCGCTCAGGCCCGCGATGCTGCTCAGGCTGCGGGATTTCTCGTAACCTGGGTGGGGGGAAGGGCAGAAACACCAGGAGGAAGCATGGAAATGCGAGTGCAGGGAGAGAGAGACCCCAAGACAGGGAGAAAAAGAGAGAAAGGGATGGAGAGGGCAAGAGGTAACCCAGAGAGACAGAGGTGGCCAGAGACAGAGACGGTGAAGAAGACAGAAATAAGAGACAGGAGGACGGGGAGGCAGAGACAGACATGGAGACACAAAAAGAGGGATGGCAAGAGACAGAGATGGACCAAGGAGATGGAGAGAGAAAGAGAGAGAGAAGTGAACAAATCGGAGCGTCAGTCAGCATCCACAAGAAAGGTTCAGACACAGGGAGGGGGAGAGACTCAGGATTAGGAGGCGGTGGCGCCCACCGAGCCTCCCCCCCACCCCACCCCAGCCCAGCCTTTCCCTGCCCACCCCTCCCTCCCCGTAGACCCCTCATCTCAGGCCAAAAGGTGGGGGACAGCAAGGCGGGATGGTGGGCAGCAGGGGCGTGGGGAGGGGCCGGTGGAATGCATGTGGGGAGCAGCCAGTGGAGAGGGCTTGGAGGGAAACGGGCTGGGCAGGACAGCAGAGTGGGATTGGGGGCCATCTAGTGTAGGGAATGGGGACAAGGCGGGCAGGGCTGTGGGGGGCTGAGGAACCAAAGCTGGCAGTGCCCTGGGGGAGTGAGAGAACTCCAAGAGCAGTGGGCGGGGGCAAGGCTCATCCCTGGGGCATCGTTCCAGGGTCCAGGAAGGTCCAGGCAGTGTCAGTGGTGAAAGGATTTGAAGCATCCCAAAGTCTGAAAAAAATGGGCTTCTGCGGGTGAGGGGAGGCGCTAAGGGACAGCTCACGGGACTCAAGATCCAGGAGCAGTGTGTGTGGTTTCTGAAAGCTTGGTCCGTCTTCGGTTCTGCCAGCGTCTGGGGGGAGTTCCATGGCTTTTCTACAGAGCCAGGGGCGCTGTCTGAAGGCGGGAGTCCTGACTGTAGGAGAGGGCCTGGGGGTTTGAAGCCCAGTATCGTGGGGACACCCCCTCCCAGCCATTCCCAATTGCTAACCTGGGGGGAAGGGGCAGGGGGGACCCGAGGGTCTCACGAGGTCTCAGGCGGTGACAAGAGCTGGGGACAGAAATACAGAGAGTCACGGCGGGGGGCGGGAGGATGGTCGGGGAACCCCCCAACACAGCCTCACTGTTGGGGGGACGGAGAAACGCCGGGATCTCTTCCTCCTCTCTGGTGTTTTCCGGGGAAGGGGAGCAGTGAAATGGGGCGGCCAGAGACTTCAAATGTGGAAGGAGCTTCCGGGGTGGCTGGGGGAGGGGCAGGGGAGCCAAGGCTGGGTGGGCAGGGAGAAGGCGGGGGCAAGGGTCAGGTGCAATCAGTGGTTGGTCAGGGTGGAGGGCAGACAAGGAAGGAGGGTTTGGGGGAAAGGAGGGAAAGAGGACAACTGGGGTGGGGAGGGGTCTCGGTGGAAGGGAGAGTCCTGGGAAAAGAAATTGGGGTGGGCATTGGTAGGGAAGGATCCGGACATGGGTGGAAGACTCAGCCAGCCCCATCAGCTCCAGCCATCATTTGAGTTCAATGAATGGATTTGGGCATCGTAGGCAGAGAAGCAGGGACCTCCCCATCCCCCACCCATATTCCCCCGTCCTCTGGCCCCCTCCCCCCTCCAATTCACCAGGGCCCCTCAGATGTGGGGGGGAGAACAAAGGGTGGAAGGGCTGGGTGCAAGCAGGGGGAGGGGCAAAATGAGATAAGGGAGGGGAGTGGGGGAGAGTAATGAGATGAGAATGGAGGATGGTGAGGGTTGCAAAAAGGAGAGGCAGAGGGATGGAACCAAGGAGCAGGCAGTCCTTCCTGGACTAGGAACTGGAAGCCTGGGTCCTCCCCGTGTGCTCTATGGCCTGGGGTTGGTCAAACCCTTCCTGAACTTCTGTGGAACCTAGGTTTTAGACAAGCTATCCCTGGGGACTCCTCAAGTTCCCCGGTGGCATCTCCTTAGACTGCAGCAGAGTTTCTTTTTTATCTTTTTTTTTTTTTTTTTGGTATGAGGGATTGAACCCAGGAGTACCACTGAGCCACATCCCCAGCCCTTTTTATTTTTTATTTTAAGGCAGGGCCTCCCTAAGTTGCTTAGTGCTTTGCTAAATTGCTAAGGCTGGTCTTTAGCTTATGATTCTCCTACCTCAGCCTCCTAAACTGCTGGGATTACAAGCATGCACCAGCACACCTGGCTCCTATGGTGCTCCCCAGACCCCACTCTGCACTCCCCCCACCAGGGTCAGCTCAGCTCCAGCCCTGCTGCCCTCCTGGTCATTTCTTTGACAGATGGCCTCAGCACCTGAGGGCCTTGACACTAGCTGTTCCTTCTGCCTGGCTGGCTCTTTCCACCCTTCAGGTTTTATGTCATCTCTCATAAAAGGCTTCCACAGATCCCCCTTATTTGAAGTGACCTGAAAAAAAAATCTTTTTCTTATTTTCTGCTTCCTCCAACCAGGGTTTGGCAAACTGTTTCTATAAAGGGCCAGAGAGTGAGCCTTTTTGGTCTGGGGGCTGTGTGGCCTCCACTCTGCCTTTGTAGTCAAACAGTGGATGCATCCCAATAAAGTTCTGTTACAAAAACAGCTGGCTGGATGCGTTGGCCCCTGGGCCTCAGCTTGCCGACCTTTGCTCTGGACTGGGAACCATGATGGCAGATTCTCCAATACCTGGCACTATGCCCTTAAGAATTCATTGCTGAAGGAGCGAATGATTGGATATGTGAAAGGAGCCAGGGGCTGGCAGGCTCTGCAGGATGACAGAACATGTTCACTTCCCAGCCTGTGCTAAGCGCTGGATGCTTCATCCACGAACACCTCTGCACACTCTCATTCCCTGTCCCTCTTGGTCCCTGACCCCTGTCTGCCTCATCTCTTCCTCTCTATTCCCACAGCTCCATTCAGGCCTCATCCTCTCCCCTGGACCCTCACCGGTCTCCTGACTTCATCTCTCCTTCCAGCTATTTCCCACAAGGCCCCCTTGAACTGCCCCTGTCCTGCCCAGACTCACCTGCCGGCCTGGGCTCCTGGACAAGGTTCCCAGCCCCCAGCCTGGCCTAGCTTTCCCGTCTCATCTAGCTGCGGCTTTCCCTTCTTGTGCGACCTGGTCTCCCAGGCTTTGCCTCTGTGGCTCCTCTAGTCATTAGCAGATAGAATTAGGTCTCTGGCTCTCAGCCAGAGCTCTGGCCCACTGCAGACCTCTGATCCTAAGTCCCATTCCTGAGAGTTTTGCTTGTACCCCTTCCTGCCCTCCCTGTGCCTCCTCCATCTGAGCCTAGATCACCTCTGCCAGGAGCCTCCTAGGTTAGTGCCTGTTCCCCACCTCCCTGAGCTCCTGGGACGTGGGTTTGCTCAGGGGAATCCCTATGCCCAGCTAGTGCTGGATGCTGATGGGGACACCAGATTAAATGCTGGCTCACCCCTGAGGGCTTGAGCCATTCTACACCTGGGTGTCCCAGGTGTGCATCCAGGTTTCCTGATTGAATAAAAAAATCCAGGGGGGAAATGTGAATGGGGTGATGGGTCAGTCATGGGGCAGGGTGTGGGGGTCAGGCACCAGGTGTGGGAGGGAGGGTAAGGGTTAGTTCTCAGGGGTTAGTGAGGGGCAGGGCAAGTCCTGGGGTAGGTGGGTGAGGGTCCGTGTCAGGAGCTGGATGCAGCTGTCCACGGTGAGGGGTGGGAGTCTCGGTCAGTGGGGGCTGCATGTTCTCAGAGGGGTTAGTCAGGAGGGAGGGGGAGTCAGGAGGGACCAAGGGGGCTACTTACCCCGGGGGGAGGGGATTCGTCCACTAGGGGGATATCCAGGCCGCAGCGTTGGCGTTGAGGTCGGGCAAGAAGCTTGGGGGGCCTGGCTTACGCCAGTCTGGGGGGGGCAGTGGGGGAGCACCAGTGGCTGGGGGTGGGGGAAGAGGCCAGAGGGTCCAGGGTTGGTTGGGGGGAAATGGAGATGGAATAAAGACAGGCGAAGGGTCAGTGGTGAGGAAATTTAGGGCAGGGAGGGAGAGGAGATCTGGGAGGGAGGCTGTTAGGGACTAAGGGAGTGGGGGAGGAAATCCAGTGCCTCCACCCCCACCACTCGCCCCTCCCCCCTGGACAGGGGAGAGAGGGAGGGTCCCAGGGGCCCACGGAGGGCACCTCACCTTTTCGAATGGAGCCATCAGGGGAGGGGGCATAGTCGGTAAGGAGGAAGCAGGCTCGGTCGCGGCTGTAACGGCCCCGGCTTCCAGGTGTGATGGGGCTCTTGTCCTCCGGGGACATGGCAGGCTGGTCAATGGCAGGGCAGTCCTCGTGGGCCAGTGCTGCTGCAGCTGGATCCCCATTGGGGCGGGGGTCTGCATCCAAGGAAGTCAGAAGGAGACAAGAGAGTGAGGTGCTGGGGAGCTGGAGGAGGCTTGTGGGTGCTAGAGGGTATTGGGAAGGGAGATGACAACGGGGCATGTTGGGGACAAGGTATTAAGGGCAACCGGGATGGTCAGGGTAGACAGGGTGTTGGCAGAAGCTGGGCCAGGTATAGGGTGCTGGGTGTTAGGAGGTGGTGTGGGAAGCAGGCTGGGTGCTGAGAAGGACCAAGGCAGAGCCCTGAGTTGGTAGGGCAGGGCTGCGCTGGGTGGGGTACTGGGGCTTGGAGGGGATGGCTGCGGAGGAAGTAGTGGGTCAGGAAGTGACTGTTTAGGGACAAGTGTTGGGAGCTGGAAAGGGCACCATGGGGAAGGGCTGGGGAGGTGATAGATGAGGGAGGGGGAGGTGGGGGTCCCCTAGGCTCTGACTCCAGCTATTTTTAATTGGTGTGAAACTGGGTCAGTGGCTGAGGGAGCAAGATGGGGACTGGGCGGCCCAGCTCCCTTTCTTGGCCTACTTAAGACCTGGGGGGTGGGGCCCACCTCTTCCTCCTCCCTGACACCCAAATCTCTGCCTCTAAGGCACGGACTCCCCTGGGACACAGGACACACGCACACAGTCAACTTTCTTCTCCCTCACCTCATCTCCCCTCATAGCGACATCTGTCTGGGCTCTCTCCAGTCCCCTCGCATGCTGTCCTCTGCAGAGCCCACCTGGTCCTGGTATCCAAGTAACCTTTCTGTCCTATGACCATATTGTCCACGAGGCCTTTGACTCTTAGTTTTCAGACCTGTCTCCCTCTCCAGCCTCACTGTTACTAGATCCTGGACTCCTGCCCACTGCCCCTCAGCTGTCCCCCACTACTCACTCAAGTCTCGGCTTTCTTTAAGTGACATTCTGACCCCTGCCTCAGACTCCACTATGTCACCTCTGGCCTTGGGGCCTCAGGACAGTCTCTGAATAGCTCAGATGCTACAGCTGTCTTCTGCCTGCCTCTGTCCTGCTGGGACTCCTGTGAGACCCTGTGTCTCCCCTGGAGCCCCTCCTGGGTCCCTCTCACCAAATGCCAATCACTCCTATTTCCACAGCCTCTGCCCTGCTGGCCTCTTGGAATAGTCTTGTCTCTCCCCATAATTCTCTTTCACGAGATCCACGTCTCCGTTGCAGTGTGCGCCTCCTCTCTGGCCTTTCCTCTCCCCGCTCTGGTGCCCACCACCCTGGTCTCTCTGAAACTCAGCAGCCACTCCTCCCAGCGATCCCCAGGTCCCAGCCTCACCTGCCCTGTTGATTTCAACCACCTCCTCCTGAGCCAGCGGGCAGGGCTCCCCAGGGGCCGGCAAAGGAGGCAGCCCCATAATCCCCAGCCCCCCTGCACGCCCCCTGAGCAGCCCAGGGTGTGTGTGTGGCCCTGAAGGGTAGGCCCCAGCCACAGTCACGCCCACGGAAGGTGGAGTGATGGGTGGTGGGGGGCTGATGCCACCACTTCCATGGTGAGGGTGGGGTGGAGGTGGTGGGGGTGGGTCAGGCTTGCAGTAGTTAGGAGAGCCAGGCTGCGGGGGTCGGGGGATATGTTTGTTCTTCTTCTTGGGTAACTTCTGTTTGGCCATAGCCAGTGAATAGTACATGCCAAAGTTGTTGACAATGACGGGCACGGGCATGGCGATGGTCAGCACGCCCGCCAGGGCACAGAGCGCCCCAACCAGCATCCCCGACCACGTCTTAGGGTACATGTCTCCATAGCCCAGGGTGGTCATGGTGACCACGGCCCACCAGAAACCAATGGGGATGTTCTTAAAGTAGGTGTGGTTGGAGCCCAGGATGTCATCCGGATCAGCGCCAATGCGCTCTGCGTAGTAAATCATGGTGGCAAAGATGAGCACCCCCAGAGCCAGGAAGATGATGAGCAGCAGGAACTCGTTGGTGCTGGCACGGAGCGTGTGGCCCAGCACACGCAGCCCCACAAAATGTCGGGTCAGCTTGAAGATACGCAGGATGCGGACAAAGCGGACAACGCGCAGGAAGCCCAGTACATCCTTGGCAGCCTTGGAGCTCAGGCCCGAGAGGCCCACCTCCAAGTAGAAGGGCAGGATGGCTACACAGTCAATGATGTTGAGGCTGCTTTTGAGGAACTCCACCTTGTCCGGGCAGAAGGTGATGCGCATGAGGAACTCGAAGGTGAACCACACCACGCACACCCCCTCCACGTAGGTCAGGAAGGGCTCCGTCTCCACCTCCACATTGGTGATGTTCTCTGGTGGAGCCCCCGGGATTGGGGAGGCCTGTGTCACCGTCTTGTTGCTGATGTGGATGAAGCCCTCATGGGTCTCCAGGCAGAAGGTGGTGATGGAGATAAGGATGAAGAAGAGTGAGGCAAAGGCCACATACTGCAGGCAGGATGAGAGAGAAAAGCAGTGACCCACCAGAAGAAAGATCCTTCCAGTGCCCCTTTCCCTAGCTTCCTGGGGTCCAAACTCTGGGGGAACCATGGTACCCCAACCCTGTGGCTCCAAAACTTCTAGCATCCTATTCTCTCCTCCAAAACCAGTGAAAGGGTAGAAACAGAGGCTGCAAGACAGGAGCTGGCCCCATCATATGCAGTAGGAAGCCTTCCCTGGAACCTGCGTTCCTAGCCCCTCCTGTCTCCTAGACCACTGCCCCTGCCCTCCTGGTCCCTGGACTCCATCTCAGGGCCCCCTGGAAAGGTCCAAGTGTTGTGCTGAAGGATGGGGGTGAGGGGGACTAAGATCACACACCCTCAGTGTCTTAGAAGCTTTGGGACTCAGCTTGGAGCTGAGGGAAGGGGAAGAATGGAGAGTCAGAACCATGGGGCAGTAAAACCAAGAAAACCTGGGTTTGATTTCAGCTTTTAACCTACCAAACTTGGACAAGGAGATTTTATTCATGTGGGATTATTGTATGGATTAATTTATATGAGTGTATAAAGGGCTTGGCTCCAAAAAACATTTTTGGTCCAGTGCCGGGAACACAATAAGAAGATCTGAACCTTTACTGGGATATAGGACATCAGTTAGTGGAGGGCAAGTCTGAGTCAGAGACAGGTCAGGGTTAAGAATCTCAGTGCCACACTGGAGTTGTGGCTCAGCGGTAGAGCACTCGCCTCACACATGTGAGACTCTGGGTTTGATCCTCAGCACCACATAAAAATAAATAAGTGAAATAAAGGTATTGTATCCACCTACAACTAAAAAATAAACCTAAAGAAAAAAAAAAAAAAAAGAATCTCAGTGCCAATGTCCAGGCCCCAGAAAGGGGAGATAGAGGACCTCACAAAGGAATAGGCAGAGGTAGAACCAAAAAGTGGAGGTAGGAGATCAGAGCCCTGAAGGAGGTGTTGAAGGGTTAAGCTACAAAAAAGGAAGAGGATAAAGAAGTAGAGAGAGGAGTGGCTTAAGGCTCTGGATAAGGAGTCAGGGGCCTAGACATTTGGGGAGAGGACAGGGCAAGGATCAAAGGTGTGAGTAGGCTGTTTCAAGTTGATGGAGAACCATAGTCCTGCTACATAATGGTGGGGGAGGGGTTGACAAAAGCCTTGAAGAGGGGACAGAGTCAAGGTTTGGGAGAAGGCAGCCCAGGGGTCACACCTCTAGGAATGGCAGTGGGCTTTATCAGCTATGTAGAGGGGAGGGGTTAAGAGTTCATGCATTGGGAAAGGAAGACAATGGGTGCTGAGGTGAAGAGGGGCCTTTAATCAGATGGGTAGTGAAGGCACAGAGGATGGAGGGGCGGATCGACTTTTAATCCTAAATGCACACTAGAAAGCAAGGACAGTGTCCAGCAACAGAGGACTCTAGACCCTGGGGTAGGCCAGGGGGTTAATGCAGGCCCTGTTTCTCCGCAGTGGTTTACGAGGCCAGAACACTCTGCAGAGCGCATGCCCACTGCTTCCCCGCCCCCCTTCGTGCCGGGTGAGTGGCACAGGCTGCGGCACTGCAGTGGGGGCGGGCCAGCAGGGCCGGGAGGCGGGGCGCAGAGAGGCCAGAACCATGGACAGCTCCCCCGCCGCAGTGCGCAGCCGCAGTGGCGGGTGCCTCCTTAACCCTTTCCAGGCTGGAGCCCAGCAGGCAGCGCAGCCGCAGTGCTGCTTTACGGCAAGAGGCCCCCTGCCAAGCCTTTGGTTAACTCCTTCCCTCCCAGGGCAAAGGGGAAGGTGGGCACCCGCCGCAGTACACAGCTACAGGGATGGACAGCGTCGGGTTGATTTAACCCCTTGCTCCGGGCTGGCTCAAAAGCAGAAGGGATAGAAGGACACAAAGTCCCTGTAAAAGGAAAGGAGAGATTACGAAGGGAGAAGGGAGGTAGGACCGGACCCTCCACTTTGCATTGACCAGCGCTCCCAACTCTAAAAGCAATCTTATTAAGAGGCTGGAAAGTGCTTGGCACACCGCGGACACTCAGAAAAACATGTGTGCCAAATGAATAACCTCCGTAGCTATCCTGGACCCCTAACCTGACCATTACGGAAGGACTTCACATTCACCTTCCCCTTCACCTCAGCACCTTTCAATGGGGTCACAAGAGGGAAAGGCGCCCCAGGCCATGGGGGGAGGGGCCGCTAGGAAGCCTGCGGGGGCATCTGGGGCCGTGTCCCTTCCGCACCTCTACTTCTCACCTCCCCCAACTCAACCCCAAATCTTGCCAACTCAGGGCTTCCCAGGGACCAAACTTTATGCGGTGCCTCGGGGGCACCCCTCCCCCTACTCCCTCCCCCGGTGCGAATGCGGCACTGCGGCTCCTTGTCCTTCCTGGCCCAGGACGTGGCACCGTGGGGGGGAGGGGCCGGATTGACTCCTCTGGGTGTTTATGCCCCTCAGGAGGCTCGAAGGGGACACTGGGATTGCTCCTTTTCCCCTCTTTCCAATCCCCCCATTTTGAACTGCCCCCTTTCTTTCCACTCATTCCCTCTCTGGGGTCCCTGGGACCGGGAGGAAGTTAGGAGGAGGAAGAGGTTCAGAGGAGAACCAAGTGGAGAACCATTTAGCCTGGGAAGTTCCAGATGCTTGAGAAAGTTTTTTTGGGAGAGATGGAGAGATCGATGGGGGAACTATGGACTTTTGAAGGAGACAAAGTTGGAAGAAAGAAAAGGTTAGGGTGTGGGGTCTTTGGGTCACTTTGGTGAATGGAAATAAGTTGAGGGGCCCAGTTCTGGGCTTTGGGGTGAGGAAACTTGAGAAAGGGGCAGAAAGCAAGGCTAGGGGAAGGGAAACCCAGCAGGTAGAAATATCCTAGACAGGACAGAAAGAATTTAATCTATTCTGAGAAGTTTCTGGGCTTATGACTTGAGATAAAGTTCTGCAGCAGGAGGGAAGTCACTTCGCAGACCAGGAAAGGAGCTAGGAGCTTTTGGAAGCAGCAGTTCTTAGAGGCAGTGAGGTATGCAGTTGAAGGAATGGAAGGGAGAGGTGGAGGCATCTGTGGTGAGGAAGAGCAATTCAGGAGAACATGCGGGGTTCTGGAGAGGAAAGGCATAGTATAGGGGCTTGTGGCTCTTCTGGAAACATGAGGAGGCTTGTGGAGGAAAGTCTGGGGCTCTACGAGGAAAGTCCTTAGGATGGGAGTTGGTGTACAGGATGCAAGAAGGGACATGAACAGAGGGGGCAGAGGGAAGTTCCAGGAGGGAAGGTGCCCCACCACTCTGTTGTAAAGGGTAGAAGTGTCCCGACTAGGAAAGTGCTTTGAAGGTTCAGAGAGATCCAGGAAGCTCTGAGGTGCAGGTGGGGTTTGGGAGTGTCAAAATAACCAGGAGACCAAAACTTGGAGCTCTAGAGGTCTTCTGGGATACAGGCTCAGGGAGAATGGGGGAGGAGTTCGGAGAACTGAAAGAGTGAGAGTTGAAGAAAAGACTTCAGAGGTTCTGGAGGAGGTGAGGAATGTGGGACAGTGTTAACAGGGTCTTGATACCTTGAGGGGTGGGAAGGAATGTCTTTTGAGGGACTGGGGTTGGTCTGAAAAACTGAGGACTGAGGGAAGTCGGGGGGGGGGGGGGGGGGTGTGTGTGACCAAGGGTGGTGACAAAAAGTTTAGAGGGAATGGAGAGCCTCTGAGGATTGAGGAAGGTCTTCAGAAGGTCTTGGAGGGGCCCAAGAAAGGCAAGGCAAGTGTGATTCACAGGAGGAAGGGAGTTTCTAAGGATCTAAGGTGGCCTGGGGCAGCAGGGTGGGCATGGAGAGAGGTCTGGGAGATTCTAAAGGTTGGAGAGGCATCATTTGAGGACTTGGGAGGTGTGTTTGGAAGACTCTGGTTTGGGGGAAGAGGCTTCTAAGAATCTGGGAGCAGAGAGAGTCCAGAACAGGTTGGGATGGGGCACCCCTGAAGGTCTAGAGGAAGGGTCTGGGGTATTTGGGAGCTCCAAGAGCGCGCTCACCCTGGCGGCCCGCGATGAGTAGGGGTCCTCGAAGAGTGCCCACACTCTCGGCTGCCAGCGGCGCCACCACGTGCCTCCCGCGCCGCCCGCTCCCCCTGGAGGCCCCCCGGCGCCACCGCCCGCGTCTTGGAAGCAGAGGCGCTTGAGCTCGCCGCCAGCGCCGTCCAGGCCGCCGCCGCCCGCGCCCGCCTCGTCGTCCAGGCCTGCGTCGTGGGCTCCTGCGGCATTGGCGGCGTTGGAGGCACCCGAGGAGTCGGGAGCCTCGAAGGAGTCGAGCGCCTCCTCAGCATCGCGATGCTGTCGGTACGTCATCCAGCAGCAGGCCTCTACGTCGGTCTCGTCGATGCCCCAGAAGCCCAGCTCCTCTTCGAAGAGCGGCCCGCACACGTCGGCCGGGCAGTGCAGCTTGCCGGTGCGGTAGTAGTTGAGCACATAGGCGAAGACGCCCGGGTGTCGGTCGAAGAAGAACTCGTCTGCACCCGGATCGTAGTCGAAGCGCGCAGCCGCCTCGGGCTCCGTCAGGCCGGCTAGCCGCGTCCCTGGCAGGGTGCGCAGCGTCGAACGGTACGTCTCATGGCGCACGCCGCCCACGTTGATCACGATCTTGCCGCTGTCGCCACCGCCGCCGCCGTGCCGCCCCATGGCCGCCGCCGGCAGCCCGGGGCATGGCTCGGCGCGCCGGCCCCCGGGCCCGCGGGGTGCCGGGGGGCCCGCCGAGGACGCGGCGGGGCCGGGCTGCGCTGGCTGCTGCTGCTGCTGCAGCGGCGGCGGTGGCAGCGGCGGGGACAGCGGCGGTGGGGACTCGGGCAGCTGTGGCTCTGGTGCCGGCTGCTGCTTGCTGGCCCCCTGGCGCCGGCGGAACGACGAGACGCAGACTGAGCTAAGCATTGGACGGGGGGCGGGGCGGGAGAGGCAGGGCCAAGAGGGGCGGGGCTCAGGGAAGACACAGACGTGATTGGGTGGGAGGAGAAGATGGACGGAGGAGGCGGGCCCGAAAGGGGCAAAGGCCGACGTGATTGGATGGGAGGAGACGCTAGAATGGAGGGACAGAGCCTTAGTGGGGGAGGATCCGAACTGATTGGCCTGAGGGAGTTGGGTGGGGCTAGGAGAGGAGAGGGGCTGATACTCTACCACTGCCTAGCTGGGTGAGGCGGAGCCACAAATGAGGCTCATCGGTTGGATCTTTGGGAGCAAAACGGAGGGGCGGAGCGTCAGAGGAAGCGGGACCCGTAACAAACGTTTCTTGGCTCAGCAGCACAGTGAAAACGGAGAAAGCCGGGCAAGATGTAAGAAAGAGACCTGATAGAACCGAAAAAAGGGTAGCCAGACTGGCCTGGAGGGGCGAGGTCATAATCTGAGAAGCCGATCTGGTTGGACTGAGAAGGTCCGGAGAGAAGGGTCAGAAGAGAAATAAAAAGAGATCTCTCCCCGGGACCTAAAGCTTTGGCAGGGAGGACCCGGGTGTTGGATAACATAGGTTGGATGGGGCAAGACCTAAGAGCATAGAGCAAAGAGAGTCCTGATTAGCTGGGACAGTGAATGGGCAGGACTGAACTAGGGAAGGGAACTGGAGATGGACCACTTTCTCACGGAATGGGACTGGCTTGAGTGAAAAGGGACAGGGAGAAGGGAAGAGAGATTGAGAGACTGAGACCCAGTGAGAAGGTTTGAAACAAGTGAGGCTTGAAAACCTGAGAGCGTCTGAATAGGACTTAGGGAGGAGGAGCCCAGGCAGAAAGCTGAGAGTGCTGGGCCTGGAGAATGAATGAATGAATGAAGGATAGGTCGGGACCGAGAAAAGTAGGTGGGGTCTACGAATGGTAGACAACCCCTTGAACCGGCTGTAGGAAGGTGAAACTAAGGAAGGAGCGGGACTTTAAGGAGCTTGAAAGGCATGGGTGAGATGGTGGAGAAAAGGGACGAGGGGCGGGGGAATAGAGGAAAAGTGAGACTTGCAGAGTGAAAGGCTACTGTGCTGGACAGAGCGGAGGGACCTGGAAGAAGGAGAGTCTTGGAGTCCTTGGAGCCAAAGATCCTCAATGACTAAGGATCACTGACGATTTAAGGGGCAGGGTGAGAACGTCAATTGGTGAAGGAAAAGAGATGATGATTAGACCACAATGGACTGCAGATTGGAGGATGAAGAGATGGATAAGAACTGGAGTGAGCCGAATGCACACAGAAGAGAGGGGAGGGGGAGAAGCCAAAGCGTCTAAACTGAGGCAATAGGTGAGACCAATGCAAAATGATGCCGAGTTAGGTGTCAGAGAGGTCTGGAGTGGGGGCAGGGGTCGGATGGAGAGTTAGGGGCGGGGCCAGAACAAGGAGGACCGCCTTGAAGCGTCAGGCCCCGCCCCCAGAACGGACCTGGGCTCTAGGAGGCAGTGCGCAGACGCAGGGGCTGGGGCGGAGCCAACGACTGCGGCTGGGTTTCTGAGCGAGGAGGTGCCTGTGGGAACGAAGGGGGCGGGTCAGAGGGCTGCGGGCATCCTCTGGCTGCGCGCTGCCTTGCCCGCTGCCTCCCTCTGCCTGTGCAGCGGTTGGTTGGTGTCGCCTCTCCACCCCATCCTGCTCCCGTTTCTGTGTCTCTGGCCCCTCTTTTCTCTGCCCTTCCCCTGGGTCTCTGAATTTGTCCCTTTCCTTTTGAGGCTTTGCTCCTCTTCTCTCTAAAGTTGTCTTCCCTTGCCTGGCCATGGTTTAGAATCCCATCCCCATTCTCATTCTTTTGGTCTCTACCTTTTACTCAGGGAGTGCCTCTCTAGGTCTCTCTTCCTCCCATTGGGTCTTTTGTCCCTCTTTGAGTCTCTGTCACCTCATGATCTCTATCCTCTTCTGTGTCTCAGTCCCCCACCCCACCTCACCTGTTTCTGCCTTTTCTGGATCTCTGGGCCCCCCTCTTATTTTCTGACGAACTCCCTCTCCTTTCCTTTCCCTCTCCCTATTTATGAGTGGTACCAGCCAGCTGCTGCACCTGCAGAGGGTGGCATCAGGCCAGGCACCGGGTAGCTAGAGGATGCTGGCAGCCCCCTGGTGTGCCCCCTTCACCTGCTCATCTCTGCCCTTTGTCGTCTGCTCTGTTGACTCACTCTAATCCTACTTTCTCTCTGAGTCCTCTTTGGGTCTCTCTCCCATGTCTTACCCACTCCTGAGTCTGTCTCTTCCTGGGGCTCCCCTCTCTCTAGGTCTCTTATTCTTTCTCACAAGGCTCTCCTCCATACACTCTAACCCCCATCCTGGCCAGGGTTCATGCTGCGTCACTGCAGACAGTTACAGAGTGGGGTTTGTCCTGCAGACAAGGAGGTAGTTATCTCCCTCCCCAGACCCTGGGCTCTCCCATAGCCTCCAATCCAGTATCCACAATCCTTGGACAGCCCTTGGGTCTCTGATGGGACCCTCCTAGGCAGAGAAAATACATCAGCACTTCCTACCTCTCTCTACCCTGAATTCTGATGTGGTCCTAGGCAAAAGCAGTGAATCTGTAGTGAGCATTGAATGAGGCTCCAAGGACAGTTAGAGATGGGGATGGAGGCTGGAGAAGGGGCTGGGTAGGCACTAGGGGCAGGGAATTGGGACTGGGGTGAGAACCTAAGTCAGCCATCCTTTATACCCCACCTCCACCCCTACTTTCTACTTTTGACAGCAGCCAGGCCCAGGATCAAGTTACTAAATCAGCGGGTTTTGGTTTTTGTTTTGTTTCATTTCTTGGGTCCTCCCTCCCCCACGACGAGAGGTCAGAAGTGTGGGAGAAGGTGGGTGTTGTTGGTGAGAAGGAGCTGGAAAAGGGGAGAATATGGAATGAGATTTGGGATTAGAAGCTGGGGATGGGGGCAGCAGCCAGGAGTAACAGGATGGATCGGACTCAGTCATGGGAAATTTGGATGCTATCAATCATTCCTTTATTGCCCTCTCCATACCTCATCGGGGTATGTGAGGGTTTTGTGAGCCTGGATTCTCACCCATCCGAGAAAAGGGGCCTTCAGGAGACAAGATGGGGCTCAGGACACCCAGCTGTGCTCACAGACCACAGGAAAACGAATTCCACGTTTGGCCATCGACCCAGGAGGAGAGAGGCTATCTGTCCACTTCTTCAGACCTTTTCACACCCCAGCTCCTCTACAGAGCATCTTTTCCCTGACATTAAACACAGAATTTCTGAAAGCTCCAAACTCCCACTCCTTATCCTGGACACTCCCTCCCCCATTCACCGAAGGACCCCAAAATTGAGGATGGGTCATCTTCTCCCTGACTTCTAGGACTCCTTTCTTATGCCCTCACCTGCATTCCCATCACTTCCAAATCCAGGAAAGGGGAGTCCCACTAATGCTGAAAATACGGGACTCCTTGCCTGAGACCCTTCAAGTACCTTGGCCCCAAAGCTCAGAATCAAAGGGGATCCCTGCCTTCCAAGTCCCCTACCTCCCAAACTGGTACTTGGGCTGTCTTACTGCCCCCCCCCCCGGACCTGAGCCTCCGCCCCCTCCCCCGTACTCACCCCAAGTCGAGGCGAGGCGGGGATGGGGGAATCCGGGGCTGGCGACGGGGGAGGGTGACCCAGCCCCAGCAGCTCTGAGCAGAAAGAAGCTGCTGAAAGGGTAGTGACATCACCACCGGAGGAGGGGCAGCACCGCTTCCCCCCAACTCGGGGGCATCAAGCTCCGCCTTTATGGCGGACCCAGGGGTCCCCGGAATCCCAAGGGGAGAGAAAATGAACAAAAGATGAGGCCCACAGGAACGGTATCCCCCATCCTTAGAACAAGGGTTTAGGAAACCCTTTATCGATTTCAGCCACCACCTCTCTCTCTCTACACACACACACACACACACACACACACACACACCTGACACCTGACACCTGTCGCTGTTGTCGCGACCTGTCGCCTCCCACGCATGTTGTGGCTGCGCCAGCCTCTGCTAAAAATGTAACATGGCGTGGACTACAACATCCACGATGCTTCGCGAGGCCGGGAGCCTTCGACTGGAGGCAGAGAAAATGTTAGGGATTCGTGGTATTTGTAGTGTAAGACTCCCCTCGCTAGTGTAAACCCAGCGGAATAGTCGTGATACCCTTCCCCTCCTCGATCCCGGAGGTCCGACATTAATTTTTCCTTTTAAGATGTATGTGCTTAGTAAGAAGCGATCCAGATAAGTTGTTTAAAAGGAAATGCTAGATTTTTACAAGGATACGGGACCTCCGTTACCTGTCGGTGCGCATGCGCCTAGCAAGGGCGTCAGCCGCAGAACCGCGCCTGCGCGGGTTCACCCTTGCCGCCAGTTTCGCCGGAACGAGCGCGCGCCAGGCCCACCCGGGCGCTGCCGTTCACGTGCCCGCGGTCGAAGACAGACACGTAGGTCCCCAAGAAGACGTCGCCGAGGATCCACAGGGGTCCTGCAGGCGGAGGCATGTCCAAGCCCTGGAAGCCGGACATACACAGGCGGATGCCACCCTGAGCAATCTGCAAAGCGACAAGACAGGACCACTGAGTGTCACAACACGCCACTGTACCTGCCTTTTCCCCGGGAGCTAATGCTTCGCCCCGCCCACTTCCGCAAAAGAAAACAAGAAATATTTCTGTGGGGGCTCCTACCCCGCCCTGGTGGTCTCACTCCCAGCTCCGCCCCTCAAGTTGGGTTATATTGTGTTACGCTGACGTCAATGAGTCACACACCTGAATGACGTAGTCCTGGGCCGTGAGGTTAAACCAAACCCCCCCAAGGAGGAAGGACACTGCGGGGAGCGATGGGATTTTCGAGCATTGAATGAGGTACTAGAGGAGAAGAACAAGTGAAGATGGGAGATGCCTGCTCAAATACCTTCCGCACCTCCCCAGCGCCATAGGGTAATGTCTGTATTGGACAACTAGATATTCAGGGCCTTGTATGGACAGGCCTTGTCACCAAGCCTTCTCTCATCCACTCCTAAATAAGTAAGGTGGCACTCAATGGGTAATTCTCATCCCTCTACCCACCACACCTGAGTCATTCAGAGAAGACGCTTGGAAATGTCCTTGCTTCCTTCCTCCGTGTTGCAGCCCAGCAAGCAAAGGTCCAGTTCCTTCTGCCCTGGGACACTTTATAGCTACCTGCTTCCTCCCCTTTGTTCCCAGCATCCTGCCCAATGTCTGCCATCAAATTCCCATCAGCCTCCCCAGTCCACACTCACCAGCGACTGTGTCCTTACCTGCCCAGCCAGCAAGGGAAATCCCCCAATGGCTACATTCAGGGCCTGGATCTCCTCAGAGGGTCCTGTGATGAGGGATGTGCCTGTGTCTAGGATGGCAGCACAGCCCTGGGCACAGACAGTCAGCCCTGTGCCCACCTTCACACTGTGAAGGGAAAGGGGACAGGTATTAGACAGAACCCTAGAAATGCACACCCCTAGCCTCCAACTTCAGGCCCAGGAAGCAAGCCACTCACCCCTCCATGTGGATCTGCCAGAAGGCAGGGACTGTGACTGGCACGAAGGTGAGGGGTGGGATGTAGTGAGTGGGGTCTGAGCCCCCCAGGACCAGCTCTCCTCCATCAGCCCCTTCAGAGTCCCTGCAGAAGCAGAGTGCTGTGGTGTCACTGATGTTTCCCCTTCCAGCCCCAGGAATGACCAGGGCTGCTGGGACTTCGTGCTAGTTGGTCTTTTCTCAGTTCTAGATGGGGGTAGTAGAGTGTGGGTGGGGCCTAGATATTGGAACTGGCAGCAAAGCAAGAAGTGAAGGGAAATGGTGCTTTTCTTGGTGGAGAAGGACTTTAGTGTGTTTGGGGGCATCCCGAAGTAGAGATGAGACTTCATTTGACTGGAAGGCAGAATTCTTGGGGTGGGGGAGTGGATTTCCTGAACTGCCATAGTTACCAAACACAGCACTGAGGTTTCTGAATTGGCTCTGGATGTGTGATTTGTGTAGGGGTGGGGTGGCTTCCTGAGTAGGTAGTGAGACTTTCTAAATTGTGTGTCCTGGTATCAAGAGAGGTGTTAAGCTTCCTGAGTTGGCTGTCAGTGACCAGAAGAGAGAGTAGCGACTTCCTGAAAAATGGAGGAGGGCCCATCTACTAAGAGGAAGGCTGGACCTCCTGAGTGGGTTGCATGTTGGGGTAACTGAGTGGACATCGGGCTTTTTGGCTGTGGGTGATGGGCCTCTGGGAAGCAAGGTGGAGATTTGGGGAGGGGGCAGAGACTTGCTGGTGAACAGGATTTTCGAGTGTAAGGTGGTACTCAATGGGTAATTCCTGACTTCCTGTTGAGTATTCTCAAATGGAACTTGAGTTTTCTTTATGGTGAAGAGAGTGTTCCTAAGTCAAGTATTTGAAGGAAAGTGCATGAAATTCTCTGTTTGATTTTGAAACGTGGAGCATT